ATATTATTAAGTAAAAAATATATTAAAGGATTATAACGTATAATAAATTTAATTATTACATATGCTGATAAATCGCACATAAAGTTATTATTTTTGCGTTACGTGTGCTAGGCGCAGCGTGATTATTGTATCGAGCTTATGCTTCTATTCGCTCAAAGTAAGTTGAAAGAACAAAATTTACTAGATTACTAGGAAATTACCAAAAGTTTACTAGATTAGAAAATTAGCAAAAGTATTATGCAAATTGGATTCTGAGTTTGCATATTTAACGCAATAAGATTTTAGGATGATGAAATAGTTAAGGAAGCAAAACGGAAAGGCACAAAAGGAAAGAGAAAAAAATGAACGGAATTGGGGCGATGATTTAAACGTAACGGTGATAAAAATGAAAAAAACAATTGAGCTTGATGTAAACGACAACACGTTACTAATGTTTTCTAGTCACGCAAAATTCATTCGTAATATTAATCAATCATTGATGCGCTACCGTTGCCACGGGGAAGTGCGAATTTGGATAGAAAGTAATAATCAGATATCAACACATATCCATATTATCAATCATGCGCGAATCACATCATCGTCCGTGTGATTTATTTTGTCGTTTGTCAATTTGCGAAGTGTTATCGTACTGAAAGATAATGCATCCCCCGCATCATCATGGGAGGGGGGGGGGGTAATGTAATGTTTAAATCCGAAATGCGGCAAATTGTGCGCATTCATGATGCTGTACAATTACCGTTCCGCCTCCTCGTGACCACCGAAATTATTTGAAATGCAAACTCACGCGGGAGTTATACACGCGGCTTATACACACTACGTACCTATGGTCTTTATATCATGCGTTTGCCGTCATTCCATGCTGTCATGTCAGCTCTTCGTCGCGTTTATCTCGTACGTGGAATCTCGCCTATCGACGAGACATAACTTGTTGAGTCTTAAACATTAAAATTGCACGATATGCTTTAAAAATATCGTACATTAATGATAAGGTATTATTTAAATTTTGAGTCAATTTTTACCGCCAAAGATTTCATTGCATATTGTCTTCTTTACAATTTTTCGACATTTAACATCAATATGTTTGCTCCGATTACTATGATTATTGTGATATATATATAAATATATATATATTATAACAGATTATACACATGCTTGACACATGAAAATGTGTAATCGCACACGCATGGGCATACGCATATGCACGCGTATCTTTGGGAAATGTTGCCTCAGATAATTTTCTTAAATAAAAAATTTGTAAAAAGAACTTTAACTCTGGAATATATTTATTAGAAAAGATAGATTTTAGAAAGATTTTAAAAACAAATAAATATTTTGTCAATAAATCTTTAAATAATGTCAATTAATATGTATTAATATGTATATATGTAATATGTATAAAATTGTTATTTATTTATTTATTTTTCCAAAACTTGATCAAGTCTTCAATTTTTTATATTAAATAGATTATTTAATTTGTATCAAATTTAATTGTTCGTACTGTACATGTATTTTCCAATAAAATCTCAGTAAAATTTTTTCTACGTAGAATTTTCCTAATAGAAATATCAAAATAGAAATATAATGAATAAAATATGTAAGCCAATGAAATTTACGCACGATTGATTATTAAATTTAACGATAAGTGATTCATGGTTACGTGTCAAATTCTGTTTATCCGAAATCAAAAGGAAATCTGAGCTCTTCTTCTTTTCCTTAGACTCAATTCAAACTATACAAAACGCGTTGAATTCTTTACGATTGATATCGTTGTATTTAAAAATTGAAAAGTGGCACTATATGTTTTAAACTTGAATTAAAACAAATTATAGTTTAAATTTGAACTGTTACAGTGCTTACTTTCAAGAGTTACATTGTCAATTTGCAAATTATTTTAGTTGTCACATTATTTTTCGTGCAACAACACACAAGTTTAAACGAATAATACGAAAAAAATATTAAGCATCTTATTTTATTTTATGACTCATAATTGAGTATTTGTCCGAATTATTTCTTTCAAATATTTTCGAAAATGTTAATTATCTTGTATTATTTCTAGTTGTAACATTTGCAATGCGTCCATCAATAAACGACAGTGACAAACGACGAATATTTTTCCGTAAAGAATATAATATAAGAATATAATTTTGGCCGATAGCAATATGTGTTATTAATTACGTTACTCCCCTTTCCTTTATTTGACATTGCTCTTTTCTTCTTTCCTTTTGCGATTTTCTATTCACGTAGGCGCGCGCCTTATTTTCCACCTTTCGTACAAACATTTTTCTCGCAAAGTTCTCTCTAGCCCTTCTTCTCCTCCTCTTATCTTTCTCGCAGCGTCCTATTCGCAACCTTTGCATTGCACTTTTCACTTTATTCTTTTTCTTTTTCTCCTTTTTCTTTTTCGTCCTCTCGCCTCGCGCTACCTTCTATCTTCATTGCAGCCTCTGAGCCATGAAACGCACGTAAAGCGAAATGCCGCGGTACGAAGGCTCGAGCAATTAGCGGAGAAGGTAATTTATCAGGTAGTAGCACTCGCTCCTCCGGAAACGCGGCTGGAAGCAAAGAGGATGTCATTACTCATGCGCGCTAGTCGTAATCTTAATAACCCGCTTTACCCGCTTGGACGAAAGCTCGCGCGAAAGTGCTAGCTGTCCTTCTCTTTTTTTTCTCGCAACGTAATAGTAGCTCCGTCCTACTTCCATCCTCGCGATTCTGCTTCTTCCTAGAGTCTCTTCGCCAACTCAGAATGCATTTATATCGATAGCCAATCGTGTTTCCGTCTGCGATCACGTGTATTTATGCGCGTGAAAATTTCAAACGCTTTCTGGAGCTTGGCTCCTTTTTGCCACAATACCGGAGGCTTTTTGCGCACAACTAAATATTATATTTAAGCATCACGAAAGACCTCGGAGTCTATGTAAAAATAACATCATAAAAATACTTAAAATCAATCGATTCACAATCGATTTAATAAAAAATTAAATTTTCTTTCAGAAAAAATAATCTTACTTTGTACACGAAAATTCTGTTGTCTATTTCTTTTATTATTCACCTAGTAAAATTACATCCTTGGACTTACGATAAAGTCTGCATAATCAATCAATTTTCAATTTTTAGTTTATTTATTATTATTATTAAATATTTATTACTTTTATGTGCATTTTAAGATAATTAAGCATTTTTAATCGTAAATCTTTCTTCACATTTATATGGTCTTACATTGAAACATTTTTTTGTTAATGTTTCAAGTCCAATACTGAGAATGGGGATACAAAATTATTTCGTAATTAATTAATTTAACATGGAAAATCAATATCTACTTGTATTAACGAGGCAATGCGCAGATAAAAATTAAAACACGTGTGTTAAAAGTACTACAGCTATAATATATATTCTTAATATATATATATATATATATATACATAGTATATGTATATATACATATATATACATAGTATATAGTATATAGTATACGTATATATATATATA